AAAGGAAAGAAAAAAAAAAAAAAAGAAAGAAAAAAAAAAAAAAAGAAAGAAAAAAAAAAAGAAAAGAAATCAAAGCTGAAGGTCCTGACTCTTAAAAGAAGATTGATAATGCACAATTACTAAAATAATTTTTATGTAAGTTTGCAGCATTATTTCTCAACCACTTATTGCTGTAATTATGATGACAACCTGTGTTTTGTGGCTCTTAGAAACAATAGTGGTGTCCAGTGAAGTCTAGAATATTATAATCATTCTGGAGAAAAGAAGGTAATGTTTGTGAACCATTCACTTTTTATCTATGGTACCAAATAGCTGATATTACATACCTACTACTGCCATTCTTCAATTTTATCATCATACAGTGAAAATGATATGTCATATTAGTAATCCTTTCTTTTTGACTTAGATAAAAAAAGAAAATACTAGGAAAAAAATGACAATGCACAGCACTTTTATTTTTTGTGTGTGTGTGTGTGTTTTAATTTCAAATTATTTTTCATTTTCATTAAAACACATTTATTTTATATATATATATATATATATATATATATATATATGAGGTACAGGGTTATATTTCAATACATGTATACAATGTGTAATCATCAAATCAGGGTAATTAGGATATCATTATTGCAAAACTTAATCATTTCTTCTTTGTGATGAGAATATTTGNTAATTGGAGGTTGAATTTATGCAAACCATTCATTAGGGCCTGCAACTGTTGTCTTTTAAGGATTAATACAAATATATCCAAATGTCTAACTAAAAGCTTTTGGTGCATCAAGCCATTAATACATGTGGAGAAAAAAATTACAAAAAAAAAAAAAAAGGAAAGAAAAAAAAGAAAAGAAAAGAAAACAAAGCTGAAGGTCCTGACTCTTAAAAGAAGATTGATAATGCGCAATTACTAAAATAATTTTTATGTAAGTTTGCAGCATTATTTCTCAACTACTCATTGCTATAATTATGATGACAACCTGTGTTTTGTAGCTTTTAGAAACAATAGTGGTGTCCAGTGAAGTCTAGACTATTATAACCATTCTGGAGAAAAGAAGGTAATGTTTGTGAACCGTTCACTTTTTATCTATGGTACCAAATAGCTGATATTACATACCTACTACTGCCATTTTTCAATTTTATCATCATACAGTGAAAATGATATGTCATATTAGTAATCCTTTCTTTTTGACTTAGATAAAAAAAGAAAACACTAGGAAAAAATGACAATGCACAGCACTTTTTGTGTGTGTGTGTGTGTGTGTGTGTTTTAATTTCAAATTATTTTTCATTTTCATTAAAACGCATTTATTATATATATTTTTGAGGTACAGGGTTATATTTCAATACATGTACACAATGTGTAATCATCAAATCAGGGTAATTAGGATATCATCATTGCAAAACTTAATCATTTCTTCTTTGTGATGAGAATATTTGATTCCTCTCTTCTAGCTATTTGCTAACATGGAGTAAATTATTGTTAATTATAAATAACTAGTCTCACTGTACTTCCATAGAATTTATTTTTCCCGTTTAGTTGTAATCCTGTGTCCACTAACAAAGCTCTCACTATCTCCCTACCCCCACACCTTTCCTAACTCTAGTAACCACAGTTCTACTTTCTNATTGTAAATAGAGCTTTAATAAACACAGGAGTGCAGTTATCCCTTGAACATAATGATTTCTGTTCCTTTGGATATGTACCCAGTAGTGGGATTTTTGGATTGTAAAAGCACAGGCAACAAGAGAAAAATAAACACATGGGATTATATAAAACTAGAAAACTTCTGCACAGCAAAGGAAACAATCAACAGAGTGAGAACATGAGGAAATATTTGCAAACTATGCATCTGACAGGGAACTAATATTGAAAACACACAAGGAACTCAAACAACTCAATAGTAAAAAGACAAATACTCTGATTAAAAATTGGGTGAATGAGCTGAATAGACACTTCTCGAAAGAAGACATACAAATGGCCAACAGGTAGATGAAAAAATGCTCAACACCACTAATCATCTGAGAAAGGCAAATCAAAACCAGATGGAGATAAATTTCAAATTGTTGTGAACGAATGTAAAACATTTACCCAACAGCCCATTATTAGAATGTGGAAGAGCCCTTACACATTTATTTTAGAAGTAAAAAGCAGTAGTATATCATGTTGTAAACACAAAGCTTATTTATTTTGGCATTTTTGTGTTGGTGGCAAAAATAAACAAATAGTTGCACAAAACCAAATGTCTATTGATCATAGAATGGCCAAATACACAGTGATGGATCTAATCTCCCCAGTAGCATTCTAATATTTAAAAATATGTATTGAGTGTTTATTGACCAAGAAAGATGCTTCAGGTGCATTCTCGAGTAAGAAAATGAAGTTACTGGGAAAACAATACAGTATGATTTTGTTAAAGACCTTCCTACATGACTGATATTAGAGGATGCTATTCCATACTATTGTACTTTACTTGTGTATTGTACAAAGGGATAAAAACAATAGAATTTGGGGGAGAAAGATATTCAAGGCCAGGGAGTTAAGTCCCTGCAGTGTAATATCAAATGTTATTCTAGAAAATAAAATTTATTCATAAATATAAATACACTTAGGGGAAGAATCTGAAGGTAAAATGGTAAACCCATTTGCTATGGTTGGATAATGCAGTTTTGTATTACTATCATTGTGTTCAATTTCTGTTTCTGATACAGCAAAATACAGTACAGTGGAAAAGGGAAAATGAACAAAATAAATGGCTCTGGGATAAAGATTCCTTGATTCATTTTCTGACTCAATTTCTCATAAATTTTATTTTGAAGACTGGGTTAGGTTGAAACAAGTTCAATTGGGAAAGTGTGTTTAATTCAAAAATCAAAA